GAAGTATTAATTTACTCAACACGGGCCAAACTCACACATTGTGTATGAATCAGTCCTGGGTGCTATACAAAGTTAGATACCGCATAGCTGCTACCTCCACAGGCTTGTGTGGGAAGCAACCACAGACAATGAAATATGGTGTACCAGGTGCTGTACAAGAGATGCGCAGCAGAGATACCCACGTGCAGAGGACAGGGATTCTTAATCAGACTGAGGCGTCGCATATAGCTTTCCATAGAACTGATGCTTGAAGCGAATCTTGGAGAATAAATAGCAGTGGCGGTGATGGGGATGGGTTGCAAACTGAAAACATTCTAGAAAGAGAGGGCAAGCAGGCAGGAATGAGATAGCATGGCAGTGTCGCACGGGTTCAGTATAAATGGAGAGAAGAAAACAGGCAGGCATAGGGCAAAAGATAAGGCTGGGAACCTTGCCATGAGGACCCGAAAGTGGAAGGGTAAAGAATTTAAACTTTCATTCTAAAAGATACTAGACAGGGCAGGCAAGATGGATCAGTGAATAAAGGCACTTACTGCCAATGCTGGCAGCCTGAGCTGGATCACTGGGACCCATATGGTGGAAGGAGAGAATTAACTCTAGGAAGCTGTCCTCCGATCTCCACATGCGTGCCACGGCCTGTGTGTGCATGCATACACAAACACACACATACAAATACAAACAGGGTAATTTTAAAAAAAGATATAAAATGACCAGGCAACCACGTAGAGCTTTTAGCAGGAGAATGGCACTATGCTATTATCAGTTTACAGACGGCGGGACTCTGAGTGGAGGAGAATGCAATGAGAAAAGAAGCCAGGGAGACGAGTGCAGACATTAAAGTAGAAGTCTGTAGCACGAATTCTAACTGGTCTTAATAAATAGAACTCGGAGTCAGATATTAGGCTGTGAAAGCTGAAGGATCGGAGAAGCAGTGTGGCCAGCCACTAGAGAAATCTTTTACTTCTACCAATGCTCAGCAGCATCCTCAGACTGCAACTGTCTCCACCAAACATCATTCTGAGGAGGCAGTCTGAGGACAGGACCAGCCCTTTGGTCTGAACATTGGTAAAAGTAAAAGGTCTCCCTAGTGGCTGGCCACACTGCTTCTCTGATCCCTCAGCTTTCACTGCCTAATATCTGACATGAAGTTTTATTTATTAAGACCAATTAGAATCCGTGCTACAATTGCCCAGATGACAGAGAATGGTCATTTGAACTCAAGTGTAGAACTGGGTAGGTTCAAGATATTTCTACAATAGTAAAACAAGCAAAGACTTGGAGATGGGTTAGCTGTCAAAGAGGAAGGGAAAACTGAGACAGGAACTAAGATGACGTAAGTTTCTAGTCCACTAGAATGCCAATAACTAAACTGTGGAAGAAACATTTGGGAAAATAAGAGGATGCGCTTAGTATAGGACCATGGTTATCAGCATGAGGAAATTGTGTTCACCAGGGGACAGTGGAAGCAATTCTGGTTATTATCAACTAATGGTACCTAGTAGATGGGACACTACAGCCACTGCTAATCATGATACAATGGACCTAATGGCCCCTCACAAGAGAAAATAAACACAACACAAAACAGCAACAGCACAGACGTTGAGAAGACCAGATTAGGACAACCCTGATTCCAAAATCTCCAATTAATGGCTTTTTAAGGATGTTCAGCAGTCTCTGGGAAGTTCCTCAAGCTTAAAACAGCTATATAATGTAAATACAAGGTAACAGCTATCCATTTATTAAGCATCTATTTAAGGCACCAGTTAAGATTGGATGCTAACTCCCAAGAATATATTCAGAAAGAAGAAGGCCTAATATAGAGTCCTCTGGGACACCAACAATGATAATAAGAAAGAATTGATTTTTAAAAAAAAAATCCCATGAGAGGGTTGGAGAGATGGCTCAGAGGTTAAGAATACTGGCTTCTCTTCCAGAGGACCTGGACTCAATTCCCAGCACCCATATAACGGCTCACAACTGTCTGTAACTCCAGTTCCAGGGGATCTGACACCCTCACACAGACACACGTGCAGGGAATGCACATGAAATGATTAAAATCATTAGAAAGAAGAATTATGAGAGAGAGAGCATGCACAGTCCGAGTCAAGGACATGAGGTGTACCCTCCTCTAAAAAAAAAAAAAAAAAAAAAAAAACAAAAAACAAATCCCATGAGAATGACTAAGAAGTAGTCAACAAGGCAGGAGGAAAGTTCGGGCTGGAGAGATGGCTCACGGGTTAAAAGAGCTTGTTGTCCTTCCAGAGGACCCATGTTCAGTTCCCAACACCCACATCAGGTAGCTCCAGGGGAGCGTTTGCAAGCACCTGCACACAAATGGCATGTGCGCACGCGCGCGCGCGCACACACACACACACACACACACACATAAAATAAGTATTTAGAAAAAAAGTTAGGAGGAAAGCCATCAGAGAATAGGTATCACAAACCAAATGAAAGCAGTGTTTCCAGAGAGAAAATAGAATAAGACAGATACAGTGCTAAAGGAAGAGACAACAAGAGTAATAAGCTAAGGGCAGAAAGCTTATATGGTCTTTGACAAAACTGAGTTCACTGATGGCTTGGGCAAGATCAGTTTCAGTAGAGTGTTCAAGACATAAGTAAGAACCATTAGAATGTCTTAAAGGTGGGAAATATTAATCATACCATGAAGCAAAAAGAGCTATGAGGTGGGGATGGCCAAAGAAACAGGAGAAGGGGTGTGCAATGAAGGACAGGGGACCTAAGAAGCAGGAATGAGTCCAAACAAAGAAAAGCATGAGCCTTTATGGGACAAGGGGAAAGAACTGTATCTTTCACTTAGACAGAAGTAAAGAGTGTAAAAGAAGTAAAGAAGTAAAGAGAAGTAAAGACTTCAGTGACATTTGTAGATGGAAAACAGGCAAAGGAATTTGCTTCTGAGAGCTCTTTATGTTAATCTTCCAAAGCCAAAGGTAAAGGTACTAAATAAGTGGATACTAGTTGTAAAGTAAAGAATAATGCGCCTGCAGTCCACGACCCTAGAGAAGCTAAGTAACAAGGTGAACCCTAAGAGAAACAAATATAGATCCCCCTGGAAGGGGAAATAGACAAGATCTCTTGAGAAAATTGGGAGCCTTGGGGTAATGGGAGAAGGGAGGGTGGAAGGGGAAGAGGAGGGGAAAAGAGGATGGGTAAGGGAACAGGATAGTTGAGATGGGGGAAGGACAGAGATGGAGAGCAAGGAAAAAGATATTTTGATTGTGAGGGAGCCATTATGGAGCTAGCAAGAAACCTGATACTAGAGAAATTCCCAGGAATCCACAAGGATGACCCCAGATAAGATGCTAAGCCATAAAGCTGAGGGTGCCAGAGCTGGCCTTGCCCTGTAGTCAGACTGCTGACTATCTTAAATGTCACCATAGAACCTTCATCCAGCAACTGATGGAAACAGAGGCAGAGACCTGCATTGGAGCACTGGCCTGAGATCCTAAAGTCCAGCTGAAGAGTGGGAGGAATGGGAATATGAGCAAAGAGGTCAAGACCATGCTGGGGACACCCACTGAAACAGTCTACCTGAGCTAATGGGAGCACACCAACTCTAGCTGGACAGGGAAGGAACCAGCATAGGACCAAACTAGTCCCTCTAAATGTGGGTGACAGTTGTATGGCTGGGGCCAACTGAGGGGCCACTGGCTGTGGCACCAGGATTTGCCCCTGCTGCTTCTACTGATTTTTTTGGAACCCATTCTCTTTGGAAGGATACCTTGTTCAGCCTGGATATAGTAGAGAGGGCTTGGACCTTTCTCAAAGCAATGTGCTTTACCCTCTCTAAGGAGTGGATGTGGGTGGGGTGGGGGAGAAGGTGAAGGGAATGGGAGGAGGAGAGAGAGTGGGAACTGGGATTGGTATGCAAAATGAGAAAAGATAGTTTTTCTTTTTAAAAAATGCAAAGAAAGGTAAGTGTTTGGAATAATCACTAACAAGAAGCCAGTGACAACAAGAGGCCAGTGATGTGGTCACTGGAAGAGTGCTTGCCACCAACATTGACAACTTGAGGTTGATGCATGAGATTCTTGTCCTCTGACCTCCCCAACTATACCACAGCACACACGTACAGCGCATATGGCACACATATACACACACACACCAAGCACATAAATAAATGTAATGAAATAGAAAAATCCCCCACAAAAATAGGACAAGAAGGTGATACTGAATGGCATGGGCATTGTAGAAAATGACTCTACAAAAACAGCTGTGTCCTAGATGGGGCGTTCCGAAAGCTATCATGTGTCCCATGAAAAAGTAGCACCCCTATGTCAGAGGCAAGAAGCATTAAAATGGTAGGCGCTGGTAAGAATGAAGGGGGGAAGAGAGCCATCTGGGAGCCTAGCTTGAGGCTTCGGCCTTTTGCTGTTCAGATCCACGAGCACAGGCATCATTTAAATGGAGTCACTACTGTCACCCCTCTCCAGGTAGACTGCCTCAGACACAGTAGGCACCAGAAGTGGGCCCGCAAAATGGACAGACTCAGAAATGTCTCAGGGGTCAATCCCATGAGAAATTTGGGTTTTTGTGGTGCCAGGAATCAAAGGCAGGTCCTCATCAATGCTAAACAGGCAGTCCCCAGCTCAGCCTCATGATGAATGCCTCACCGCCAAGCCTCCCGCTCCCATGGTATTTCTTTGTTCTGCTAAAAGCATTAACCTTTCAAATATTTTGAACACCTGACTCAACACAGTGGTCTCAGCAGTACCGCTTTCCTGTTAATTCCCAGCTCCCAGCGTCCCTGGACCCCTTGACATTTCCAGTAACAACAACAGTTCAGTTCCGCCTCCCACTCTCTACCGTCCCCGGAACAATGTTCTGCCCACATTAAGAGGTAGGCTTTCAGCACAGGGCCCCTCCTTTCCTCCAGCAGTCACACGGCAGGCACTCATATTAAAATGTCACTGACGTGCAGTTTGAGACTACAATTACCTTCCCCAGGTCATCTTCCACTAGCCCTTGTTCATTTTTACCTGAGCCACTTGATTGTGTTTCTCTGGGATGTTTTTCAGATGGCTACAAGGTACACAGACAACATTCCCATCTACGTGAAGAAAAGATGATTTATTTATATGGTTTTCATCCTAACCCAGCAGCGTCCCTCCTTTGGGAGGCATATGTTGATACAAAGAAGCAAAAGGCCTAATTCAAGTAGACAGCTATTTTTTCAGAGAAAACATAATTGTTCCCTGGTTTAGCTATTCATCAGCTAGTTTTTAAAGGAGCTTGTCCTGAATGCTCCCTCTCATACCATGAGTGTACCTTGTGACGATATTTGCTTTCTGTTCAGTTTCTAAGAGGGAAACAAAATGTAACGGGTTTTGTTTATCTATTACTGAATAATAGAACACTGACGTCAAAAAGTCATTTAATTCAGCACATGAAGGGAAAAGCCAAATGCGTTGCTTGTCCTAATGAACTGTAGTTCAAGGCATATGGATATTAAGCAGTGTGACTAATATCAAATGATAGGGCTTTGACTTGGTTTATTGAAAATGGGCAAATGAAAAGCTCAGGGGTAGAATCTGGGAATGGATGAAGGAACTGAGTCTCAGAAAATGCCACTGTCATTTCCCTCATGTGTACCCCCTTTTCCTTCCAATTCTTTACAACGGATTCAGCACAGAGGTCTATGAGGATGGGGATTGAGAGCGACTCACAAACAATGAGGGCACTGCTCCCAATATGGACAGGAGCAAAAATAAGCATTGCAATGACAATGATGTGGCAGCAGTGCTAACAAAAACATTTACTCTAAGCCCTCACTGGGATATCTGAGAAATTGCATTTAGAGGCAGTATAGGCAAGGGCAGTGATATCTATCACTGTTGTAATGATCAGAAATTAGCCCAGACCAACCTTGCGGCCATGAGCTGCATCCAAGTCAGCTGGCTTTAGGGTCTTTGTGTGTTCCACTCCTATTGACACTGTTATCTGTGCCCTCCTCATCCCTCTCCATGATTGTTTTGTATTTTTTGTCTGTTTTGTTTTGTTTTGATTTGCTTTGCTTTCTTTTCAACTGACCTCTCCAAGTTCCTAGGTAGTACCCCACAGTCTTTGGATTGCCGTTCAACTGACCTCTCCAAGTTCCTAGGTAGTACCCCACAGTCTTTGGATTGCCGTCGGGGCCCCGGTTCACAGAGAAGGTGGACTTATTTCGGTAGCCATTGATGATGGGCTGGCAAGGACAGAAGGGAAGAAAGGAGAACAGGAGATCAGACAAAATCAAAGAGGACAATAAGAAAGAGAACACAGCCATGTCCACTGAATGGGGACCAATGTTGCTGACTTGGAAGGTGTGGTACATGGGAAAGCCTGTGGCTGAAATGATCCAAACACTCTTGACAGCATATTTCTCATCTGTGCTGTCGATTTGCTTTTCAATAACGTTTCCTTGCTACTCTGAGAAAGAAAAAGGAATTTCAATCTTGCCATAAAGCAGGAGCTAGCAAAAGTGACCTGTCAAGAGCTGGAATAGTTTAAGCTTTGCAGGACATATGACATCTGTCATAACTACTCCATGGTGACACTGTAACCTTGAAAGCAGCCACAGACACAAACAGGTGGGTTAGGCTGTAATACAGAATGACAGATTTGGTCTAAGCGACATGGCATGCCAACTTCTGCCATAAATGAAATTCTGCTATTTGGAAGCACTGTTAGGAAGGTTTTTGAAGCCTGGAATCTGCCTAAGGAGCTAGCAGGCTAGTGGCTGATAAAGTGGGCTCTGTATCAGACAGTCCAGAATATGTAAACATTAGCTCTGACACTTTGAAGATGTGTGCCCTAGGTAAACTGCCCGGTCTCTGTGTTCTCTGATACCTTCATTTACAAAATGACAGTACCTATCTATCCCTCTGGGCCATTGTAAACAGAAGAATGAGAAAATGATGCAGGGTAATCACCCGCCCCAGCAAGTGCCCTGTGACTATTATTGATACCATTAGCCATTCCAAGGCCACAGCAGGTAATAATTAGGGAGGTGGGGACTTACAGAAGGTATAATAGGATGGAGGTGACAATGCAGTCCCTCTGAATGAGGGGAGGCCACTGTTCCATGGACTCCATGGAGGAACTGCAGGTAAGACTCTAGTCTTTGTAAAATTGTCTTCTGAGCTTCAAATTTCACCTGCAACAGAAAGAATATAAGCAATACAGCGAAGCATTTTGTATTTTCACTGCAAAGAAGAGACAAAAGAGGATCTCTCCAAGATGCTTGGGTTATGCGCTTAGCAGATAAGAGAAGCAGGAAATCTAGCACAGGCAAAGACTTAATAAGATGCCAAGGAAAGGTCAAGAGGGAGTTCTGTGTGAGCTCATCTTTTCATCTGACCTTTAAGATTAAACACTTAAAGTATATGTCAGTGCTGCCCAGTAGATCGTCCTATAATGGAAATGTTCTGTCTCTGCTGTGTTCTCCACACACAGTAGCCATTAGTCACGTGTGGCTAGAGCACTTGAAATGTGCAGTGCTTGGTGAGGCTAAGGAAGGGCTCACAGGAGAGATAAGGTTGGGCACGCAATGTTCTAAACTGCCTCAGGTAGTTCACATGGGTAAGCAGCCTTCAGAGACAAAAGCAGAGGGAGGGATGAGAGCTTAATGACAGTACTTCAGAGCAGCCCTGCTCAACCTTGTCCGCAAGCTCTGCACCAACCGCCTTGAATTCAATTTTCTTTAATGTCACTGCATGTTCTGTTCCTGCTGGTCCTGTTCTCCGTACCTGACCTCTCTGCCCTTGTGTTCTCAGTTCTACTAGTCACAGCCATCACCTGACTTCTCCAGATTCCCAGGGATGCTGTTAGGATGCCTTGCTCTCTGAGCCTTGGTTGATGGTTCTGCTTTCTTTCTGTCATTCTCTACTTTTAGTTCTTTCAGATTTTTCAAGTTTACTTTTTATTTTCTTGTGTCTGGGTGTTTTGCCTGCATGTACTTCTATGCACTATGTGTGTGTATGGTGCCCATGGAGGCCAGAAGGTGCCAGATTCCCTGGAAGCAAGTTACAGAGGGTTGTGAGCTGCCATGTGGGGGCTAGGGATTAAGCCCGGGGCCTCTGGAAGAGCAACAAGTGCTCTTAAGTACGGAGCCATCTCTCCAGTTGCCCTGGTCTTTCTTTCCTTAAGCGTTTCACCATGTAGTCCTGGCTGGCGTGGAACTCATTATGGAACTGGGCTTACCTCCAGCTCAAGAGCCACCTATGTCTGCCTGCCAAGTATTGGGATTAAAGGTGTGTGCCACCATGCCAAGCTTTATATTGTCATCCTTATAGCTGAGTGTATGTAAGAGTGGTGTGTGTGTGTGTGTGTGTGTGTGTGTACACATACAAACACTCTTGTACTTTGCAACATGGGATGTGACAAGAGCAGCATCATTTTAGGCATGTCAAATGACTAAAACAACATAAGAATATGGGGCTGGTGAGTTGGCTAACAGTTAAGAGCACCTGTTTTTCCTGCAGAGGACCCTGGTTCAATTCCCAGAACCTACATGGTAACTAACAACTGTCTGTAACTCTAGCCCAAGGGGATCTGATGCCCTCTGACCTCTGAGGCACCAAGCATGAACATAGTACACACATACACAAGTAGGCAAAATACTCATACATATAAAATAACAAGTAAACCTTCAAAATTTGTGAAAAGAAAGAACATGACAACAAGTCTAGAATTTTCCCCTAAAGACCTAAGATTTATTTATGGAAGCCAGTGCCAAAAGAATCACTACTTAGGGAATAGTATGAGGAACAAAAGTACACTGGGTGGAGTATTTGATCATCAGCATTGACTAGGTATGGTCCTCACCACCCTCAAAGAACTGAGAGAACAGTAGATGGCTGAGCTATATGCATATACATTTTATGTATTAGTATACCACCCAGTTCAACCAGGTGCAAGTTCCTTCTTTCACCTAGCACTTCTCATGAACAAAATCGCTCCTGGCGAAAAAGAAATCTGCATTATGCTCAAATTGTTCTCTAATACATCAATCCACTGGAACAAATTTGTTTTCAAAGCAAGCATTATGAAAAATTGACTATACTTAAATTTAAACAAACATATGTGACTGGCGGCTCCCATGTTGGGAAATTTGACCATATTATTACTCTTACACACAAGAATGACAAGAAAAGCAAAGAAGAGCATCAGCAATTGGAAATATGGCTCTAGAGTTTAGAAGCAATAACTAGCCTAAAGTTCAACGGTCAGAGTCATTAGCACACCAGTTTTAAAGACCTTCAGGGTAGGCTGGGAACATGGTTTCCTTGACACAGGGCTTGTCTAGCATTTGTAAAAGCCTGGGTTTAAGCCCGTGATTGGTATAAAGTAAGTGGGATGGTGCACTCCTGTAATCCAGGAGGCAGGAGAAGTAAAAGGTTTGAGGTCATCCTTAGTTACAGAATGAGATGGAGACCAGCCTGGGCTACATGACACTTTGTTTCAAAACAAACAAACAAACCACAAAAAGGCACGTAGGGCAACTGGACTGAACTCTCCAATCAGGTTTTGGGTAAGTCTACTGCCATTCTGCAGCAGGAATAGGGGGAGAAGGCTCAAGCCTGACACCTACCTTGAGCTGTTCTTCATAGCTCAGCCTCCAGAGCGGAGTCACAACGTCAGCCAGCCTTGAATAAAATAATTCAGACATGCCATTCATGATCTAAATATGTGCTGAGCGCCTACTATGCATAAGTACTTCCTGCCACCAGTCTCTGATGGTTAACTTATCAATTCAGAAGCTACAACTGACTCTCATTCTCCTAAGGAGATGGGAGTCTGGGAGAAGAGCCCATTTGGGTGATGCTACTACTTACCAAAGCTGAACAGATGGGCAAATTCAATATAAGAAAAATCCAGATTTATCAAGTGGTAATTAGTCATATTACCAAAAGCTTTTACTTCTAGGAGTCTCTAAAAAGCTTACCTCCTTAATAATTTAAAAATATAATTTGACTCCAAAAATACATTTGTTGCATAAAATGATGTATATTAGTGCTTGTTTAGCTCTAACAGGACTATTCATGCCCAATCAATGTAGTAATTTTTCTTCTCTCTCCCTACCCAACTCCCCCCATCTCTGAGACAAAGTCTCACTATGTAGCTCTGGTTAGTCTATCAATATATGTATACCAGGCTAGTCTCGAACTCACCCACTGCTTCTGCGGCCCAAGCACTGAGATAAAAGGCATGAACCAGAATGCCTTGAATAGTATTTTGATTTTTATTTTCTTAGTTTTTAAATTGTTTTATTTTATTTTCATTTTACTTTGGTTTTGAAGACAGGACTTCATGTATCCCAGGCTTGCCTCAAACTTGCTCAGGATAACTCTGAATCTTCCTGCCTCCACCTCCTGATTGTTGCAGTTTCAAGTATGTACCACCAAGCTCACTTCCACAGACCTTCTTTAAAGCAAGTTCTTTTTTTTATTCTTTTTTTTATTTATTAAAGATTTCTGCCTCCTCCCCGCCACCGCCTCCCATTTCCCTCCCCCTCCTCCAATCAAGTCCCCCTCCCTCAACAGCCCAAAGAGCAATCAGGGTTCCCTGCCCTGTGGGAAGTCCAAGGACCACCCACCTCCATCCAGGTCTAGTAAGGTGAGCATCCAAACTGCCTAGGCTCCCACAAAGCCAGTACGTGCAGTAGGATCAAAAACCCATTGCCACTGTTCTTGAGTTCTCAGTAGTCCTCATTGTCCGCTATGTTCAGCGAGTCTGGTTTTATCCCAGGCTTTTTCAGACCCGGGCCAGTTCTTAATTTAAGACCTCCTTTTTGACAAAGATGTACTCTAAGACAAGAATATTCCCTACTAGTTCCCAAAGTAGTTTCATTACTATCCTTCACAAGTCCTTAAGATTGCCCTGATCACACTACTTCAAGTACCCTCATGAACTGTCATAGTGCTATATTAGTCAGATTAGCAATACAGAATTCCAGTGGACCCAGGGATTCTGACTTGCTGAAAACAAATGCCATCAGCTTGAGTCTTACCTCTCCTGCCAGGAGTCATCTAGTGATCTGAAATGCCTTTGTTTCTTCTGATGGTTTTGTCGGCTTGGATGCTTCTTAATTATCCCATTGATGAAATTTCCCTTATGTGCTCTGCCCAAAAAGGACTGTGACAAACCTGGTGCATTTGCAGCATACCAAGGAAGCGGTCCTGGTTTGGAGAAGAAACCCACTCTGGAAAGGAGTAATCTTGGGTTGTGCATTCTGACTTCTCTCTTGACGCCTGCCAATCAAAGACACACACTGAAATTCACCCACTGAAAGGTGGATATAGAGGCACAATTCATCAAGCCCTGATGACTGAAATCACAATATAATCCACGCCAGTTCAGAATTATGGATAATAAAAGGGTTATTTATTTAAGGGAAAACTTACAGATCACTGTCCTAAATAACAGTCCTCTGCATGAACAGGAACAGAGTCTAGCAGCCTGAAGTGGGAGCCAGAAGCAAGAGAGTGAGCAGTGAGCATACACTTTAAGCTGCTTTTACAGTATCAGAGACCACAACCAAGTGGTCTTAAAGGCTATTGGCTGAAGGAGCAGAATGTGCTCCCACAGCACCTCCCCTTCTGTTTATATAAGAGAGTTTCAAACCCAATACAAAACTATATACATTAGGAACAGATATCAAGTATAATTAGAATTACAACCAGCATAAACAATATTAAGCAAGGAATGTATGCTAAATGTATACTCCATTCTATACTATGGAGTCTAAGTCTTGTATAGAAAATGGCTTAACTAGATCATAAGAGAACAGTAAGTACAACTATCTAATCTTCAATCCCATCGAAGGCCTGAGAAGGGAGATAATATTACTTGAGCAGGCAGGAAGTACAATCGAGTAGCTTCCAAAGCAACCAGTATATGAGTGAGGGAGACCATTAGCTACCTGAGCAATCACCCAAAGTCTCATGTGCAATGTTGAAACAACCAACTTTGGCTAAGGCCTAGCTGTTGACTTAGAAGAGGGACCAGGAAAGGCAGGTGGTGGCACATCTGTAACCAGAGCCTCTGCTCAGGAGGCAGAGGCAAGCCAGCTTGGGCTAGATAGTGGGTGAGTTCTAGATAGCCAGAGATGCACAATCAGATCCTGACAAAGAAGGAAAGGATAAAAGAAAGGAGGATGGGGAGAAGGGGGAAAGAAAGGGAGATAGGAAGATAAAATAGGCAAAGAATAAAAAGGAAGGAGATGCAGCACCTAGGGAGCTATAGAAGCCAAGGGATAGGTCTGTGATGCAGGAACTGACACAGCCAGGAAGTCTGAGGCACCAAAGGGAAAGAAGGCAATGGGTAGAACCAGACAGCAGGGACAAATGAAAGCTTTGGGCTTTCAGGACGGAGTGCAGGATGCTAGAATGGGCTTGGGCTGGCTGCTGGCTCTAACACTTACTAGCTAGATGGCTTCTAGCAGGTCAGTCATTCCTCTGACATTCCTCTTCTTTCATCTGTAAAACAGAGAAAATGATAATGGTACCTACTTCATATAGTAGCTATAAGAGCTAAGTAAAGAGAATTAATAAAAATAAAATGTACCTCTGGAGAGTAGATCAATGATAGAACACTTGCCCAGCCGGTACAGGGCCCTAAATCCAATGCCACACACTACATAAAAAGTACTTGACTGAAGATTAAAGAGAGATGACGTCTGGAAAGTTCTAAGCACAGTGCCCAGTAGCTGCAAAAGCTCTTCGGTGTTATTACTGTCAAAATGCATTTGAGGATATCATGGAATGGAATGGGGGAGGCAATGCAGATAGAAGGCACCAGAAAGGAATCGTACCAATGACTCTGAGGACAACTTTGAAACACTTTCTAGAAGGGTTAAGCAATGTGACTCTCAGAGCACAATGTTAGGCCCTGTACCTGTCAGTGCCTGGATGAGAGTATTCTGAGAGGGAACCCTCTTCCTCCATTACAGGACTTTCCTTCGGTCTGGTTCCCTTAAGGTTGTGCGCTCATTAGTTTTTGTGACAACGTGACACAGCTAGGGTCATCTGGGAAGTGGAGTCTCAATTAAGAAAATGCCTCCATCGGACTGGCAAAGCTGTGGAGCATTTTCTCGATTGCTGATTGATGTGGGAGTGGGGGTGGTGCCACTGCTGGGTAGGTGGTATTGGGTTGTAAAAGAAAGCAAGCTAGCCAGGCAAACGGTGAGGGTACACACCTTTAATACTAGCACTCGGGAGGGAGGCAGATCTCTGTGAGTTCGAGGCCAGCCTGGTCTACAGAGTGAGTTACAGGACAGGCTCCAAAGCCACACAGAGAAACCCTGTCTCAAAAAACAAACAACAAAAAAAAGAAGAAAAACAAGAAAAAGAAAGCAAGCTGACAAGCCATTGGAAGGCCTCTGTTTCCGTTCCTTCCTTGAGGTTCTGCCCTGACTTCCCTCAGTGATGGACAATAAGCTACAAGATAAAACAAACCTTTTCCTCCCCAAGCTGTTCTTGGTCTTGGCATTTCCCATGGCAACAGAAAGCAAACACGACAAGTTACCTAGCCTTGCTCCATAAACATCTTTCCTTTTTCTGTCTTTTCTCACAGGACTGGAGACTGATCCTACTATCTATGCTAGGCAAGCACCCTGCCACAATGCTGTATCACCAGCTTTCTTTTTACTAAGTTTCCCAGGCTTGCCTTGAACTCAATGTGTAGCTCAGGTAGGCCTTGAACTTTTCATTCTCCTGCCTTAAGCTCTTGAGTAGCTGGGACTAGAAGCCTGTGTCACCATGCCTAGCTGATCACTGTTCTGAAGTGTCACATAACATGTAAACAAACTTGGCATAATCTATGGACTGCTATGAAGTTACCTTCAAGGTGTGGGAGGTCCTTTTGTCTGTGTGTTGCTTTTTTTGGTTAATGAATAAAGAACTGCTTTGAGCCTATGGCAGGGAAGAACAGAACTAGGCGGGAAAAGCTAGGCTGTATGCTGGAAGAAAGAAGGGCAGAGTCAGAGAGAAGCAGCAGTGGAGCCGGAAACAGATGCTGGGAACGTTAGCCAGTAAGCCACTGTCCTATGGCGATACACAGATTAATAGAAATGGGTTAAATTAATATGTAAGAGTTGTCCAATACGAAGCTAATGGGCCAAGCAGTGATTTAAATAATACAGTTTCTGTGTGATTATTTTGGGTCTAAGCTAGCCGGGTGGCTGGGAACCAACAAGCAGCCTCCCACTACACCTTCAGCATCAACCTCTGCCATAGACTTTGTCAGGATGGCCTTATTTGAGTTTGGGAGGAAAATTTCAAATGTCTGACAAGATATATTTAAGCTGATCCACAGTTCAGATGTAAATAATAGACACCCATAAGAGGCAATGAGTTGTCATATTTAAGAACATAGGTTTGGGGGCTGGAGAGATATCTGTAGTTAAAAGCACCTGTTGCTTTTCTAGAGTACCTAGGTTTCATTCCGAGCACCCACATGGTGGCTCAAATCCATCTAAACTTCAGTTTCAGGGGATCCAGTGCCTTCTTCTGACCACACTGATCATCAGGCATGCTTGGGACACACATACATGCATGCAGACAAAATGCTCATATATATAAAATAAATAAATCTAAAATTGAAAAAAAGAATAGAGGCTTTAAAAGGTGGGATGACCTAGCTTAATGGTAGTGTGCTTGACTAGTATGTACAAGGCCTTGGATTCAATTCCTATCATCAGGGGGAAAAAAGGAAATAAAAAAGGGACAGTGACAGGCAAGTCATTAGTTCAGTTCTTACCACTGCAAAAAGAAAGTCTTCAACAAGCAGCACTGGAAAAACTGGGTAGCTATGTACAGAAAAATGAAACTAGATCCTTACCTCTAACCCTGCAGAAAACTCCAAATGAATCAAGAATCTCATTCGTGAAACCTAAAACCAGCTGGATGGTGGTGGTCCACACCTTTAATCCCAGAACTTGGGAGGCAGAGATGGGTGAATCTCTGAGTTCAAAGGCCAGCCTGGTCTACAGAGTGAGTTCCAGGGCAGCCAGGGCTGTTACACAGAGAAACCCTGTCTCAAAACAAACAACAAACAAAAAAACCTAAAACAACTAAAAGAAAAAACTTGAAGACAAAAAAAGGAAAAAAAAAAACAAAACCAACTACAGAAAAAAAAACCTTCAAAACCTCACCAGAGTTCAAAACTTTTGGAACAGGACACTAATTGCTCAGAAAATACAGTCAATGATTGAGTAGCGGAGGCTCGTGAAATTAAAAAGTTTCTGTACTGCAAAAGCAAAATGGAGAGGCAGCCTACAGAACACCATGAGAAAATCTTTGCTAGCCACACATATATGCCAGAGGAGTAATACCTTCAACACACAAAAACTTTCTTCAAAAAAGTAAAAGCAAAAATAAACAAGAAAACAAATGTAGATTAAAACTACTTCGTGATTCCATTTCACCCTAGTCAGAATGGCTATCATCAAGAAAACAAATAACGACAAATGTTGACAAGGATATGGGGAACTGGGAACCTCTATTCACAGTTGATGGGCATGTAAACTGAAGAAGTTACTATGGAAGTTAGTGGGCAGGTTTATCAAAACACTAAACATACAACTACCATAAGACTCAGCTATTTCACTTCCTGGGCCCATACCCAATCGACTCTGCAACCTACCATAAAGACACCTGCACATCCAGGATGATTTGTGCTCTAGTCAACACAACTAGGAAACAGAGTCAACCTACACACCTATCAACTGATGGATGATGAAAATGTATTACATACACACAATGGAATTTTATTAGCCATAAACAATGAAATTCGCAAGAAAACGGGTGGCATTTGAATATATTAAGAAGTTCGAGAGCCAAGAGTGGTGGCGCACTCAGGAGGCAGAGGCAAGTGGATGGACTTCTGTAAATTCAAGACCAGCCTGGTCGACATAGTGAGTCCAGGGCAGCCAGGGCTATGTATGTAGAGAGACCTTGTCTAAGAAAAAGAGAAAAAAAGGAAAAAAGGAAGGAAGGAAGGAAGGAAGGAAAGAAGGAAGGAAGATAACCCTGACTCAGAAAGACCAGCAAGCATCCCATGCTCTCTCATATGTAGACTCCAGCTTCTAATATTTAATATATGTGTGTTTATGTGGGAATACAGAGGTCAAGAAACCAGAAAGGAGAGCCTGTAAAAGAAGGACAAGAGGCTTTACAGGAGAGAAGTGGGGGGCAGGGATAAAACCCACATGATATGAAAACAGGAACCTGCTAGTCTGTAAGCTAATTTTATTTTTAAAGTTTTAAATAGGGATGGGATGGATGCCCCAACGGTACAGAGGAACTTTGGGAGACTGTCCAGGCAGCGAGATGTCTCTGTCATTTCTAGAGTTTGAAGTTTCTTATTTCTTGTTTACTTAGGTAATATTATATACTTCTGGAGCTTTGATGGAGTTGAAGAATGAATAGATAATTATAGTTTTCCATTGTTATGAAAAAAGATAAAATAGATATAAATATTGTAACTGTAATTCTTGCTTGATAACTGTTTTGTTATATGTAATCTTACTATGTTAAAATGAAAGTCTTTCTTTTTTATTTAAACAAAAAAAAGGAAAAATGATGGGGGAGAGTCTTCTGTTTTGTGTTAATTTCATTGGTTAAATAAAGAGACTGCCTTGGCCCTTTAATAGGACTTAAAATTAGGTAAGCAGAGTAAACAGAACAGAATGCTAGGAGAAAGAAGCTGAGTCAGGCAGTCGCTATGATTCTCCCACTCCAGACAGATGCAGGTTAAGATCTTTCCTGGTAAGCCAGCTCGTGGGCTACACAGATTATTAGAAATGGGTTAGATCAATATGTAAGAACTAGCCAATAAGAGGCTAGAGCTAATGGGCCAAGCAGAGTTTAAAAGAAAAATAAATAAATAAATAAATAAATAGGGATGGGAGAGGTGGCCCAGTGGTTAAGAGCGCTTGCTCTAGCAGAGAACTTGAGTTTGGTTCCCAATAGCCATATGCTGGCTTACGGCCAGAGGATCCAACACCTCATTCTAGCCTCCACAGGCACCACAAACATGTGATGCATAGACATACATGCAGGGAAACACTCCAACACACAAAACAAAAACAAAATTAAACTGTCTAAACGTTACCAGGCTCTGAACCCACATCCTAATCCAGGATCTACTTCTCCCTAGTTATGTGGCTCTGGACATAATGAATGTCAGATCACCACCTAGAAAAATGGGACTAATAATATCTTCCTTTCATGGCTGTAGTAAGTTTGGGAGCCCATGTGTGACTCAGTTTCCATTTGGAGTCAATTCTGACTTAAAAGTCATTTGAGTTCAAGCTTGCCTGCTCTGCCTGCATCCTTGAGGGATGTGAGAAAGATCTGATTAAGCCCATGGAAAGAGCATTTTGCCCATGAGAAAAGAACACATTATCTATTAAGAAGTAGAAAAAAGAAACTGCTTGCTGCTAGCAGAATTCACCTGAGCGACATGAACCTGCTTA